TGTGTTCGTGTGCAATATTGGAAAAGTGAGACAAACGGCAACAATAAAATAAAAGCAGAGATGAAAGATGGTTAGAAGGAGTGAGATAATTAATTATTCATCCTGAACAGATTATGGAGAAAAAAAGCAACACACACACACACACACACACACACACACACACACACACACACACACACACACACACACATAAACACTCACTCACCTAGTTACAAGTCATGCACAAAGCTATCACTTTAAAGATGGCTTTTTTCCTCCAGTGGTATTGAACAATTTCTGTGTAAATTAGTCGAGTTTCTTATACAAAAAGTCTGAAAGCCAGTGTCTCAAAGTTTTTTTTTAAACTCCAAAATTATTTTTCTAATGTGCAATATACAGCAGAATAAATAATCCTCCTCTCTTCAGTCGTACAGTTTTTTCATATTTAACTGTCCATTGAAATCAAACACATGTTCTTTTTATCAGATTAGGTCCGTTTGCTTACTCAGTAAAATATTTAATTGGCTCGTTAAAACAGAGGACTTCACACTCATTGTGTCGTTATCTGCTGAATTTGCCTTACGAACGGTTAATAACCGGACGGTTAGCACACTATGGCTGCTAGTGTAATGTATCCAAAGGGCATTTTCAATTTCATTGTAATTCATCCCTAAGACCTTTGTGCTCGTCTAACTCAAATAATGTACTCATGTTAACACACATTTTTCTCTTGCTGATAGCTTACTGTATTTTGTTATATTTCTCAACAAAAATTAAGCCTAAATTAGGTATTTTTCTGTATTGGAAGTTAAAGTTTTGAATAGGCATACAGTCTGTGTACATTTAGACTTATAGTACAGTACTTCCCACTGAAGTGAGGAGTTGTGAGTGGTAATAGGTATATTATAAAACATATATTCCACTGCACACATTTTTTTAAATACTTTTTTTCCTGGGAAATACGGAAACTTGGGTTCACCTTCTCTCAAATAAAGCCACATCTTGATAAATCGCGATTGGACATGATTAGTTAACAAGAGTCACATTAACCAAAAGTGGTTGGAAATCAAAGGAATGTAAGACCAGAAGAAGGAAAGGAGTGATAAGGATATATAATTAAGGTTAAAACAAGTTCAAATAGGAGGAGATGAAGATAGAGAGAGGAGGAAAGGAAAACGTGAGGAGAGAAAATTAGAGAGACAGAGAGGAGAGAGAATGGACACAAAGGTCTCTGTGATAGACATTGATATTGAAATTCACATTTGGATACATAACAAGAGCAGTTGTAGTGTGTTAACGGTCCTTTTATGAAATTACGATGTGCAAATACACCATAGGTCATAGTCCTCTGTTTTAACGAGCCAATGAGCGAGTGAGCAAACAGACATAATCTGATCATAAACCTTGTGTTTCATTTCAATGGACAGTTAAATATGGAAATACTCTAACGACTGAAGAGAGGATACCCAGCGGAGCCAAAGATCATCCATTTTAAAACATATAGAAATTAATATATAATAAAATAACTTTACCCAACAGTCCAACAAGTCTTTAGTGTTGCTGCATTGGAGTCAAGTTGTCACACACATTCCTGTAAATGACCTGAAGTGAGGTCCGGACAACTTAAAGGGAGAGTGAGGACCACCTTTTCTGCTGCCACCCATAAAGAGAACAAATACAGCATTTCAACACACACACACACACACACACACACACACACACACACACACACACACACACAGAAACACTCACCCGCCTAGTTACAAGTCATGCACAAAGCTACCACTTTAAAGACGGCCTTTTTTCCTCCGGTGCTATTGAACAATTTCTGTGTAAATTCATTAATTATATAAAAAGTCTGAAAGCCAATGTCTCATGGTCTTTTTTGAATGTCCAAAATGATTTCTTTAATGTCCTATAACAAATAGAATAAATAATCCTCCCTACTTAAAATAAGAAAATTGAATAAATAGTGGGTTATATAAAAACACCATCAATCAGTGATACCCAACCTTAACTTTACAAGTACCTTTGCAACCCAACAGCCTAAAGAAAAGAGATATTATGTCCTTTGCTTGAAGGAAGAAACTGATCTCTAGGATGTTTAAAGGTCTGCAGAGTGAATGCAGACACCTACTACACAGCCACACAGTAACTTGTTCACTTCGTTGCTTCAAAAGTATTTTTCTTCCTGTCAATAAGTCAACTTTATGCCAAGTCTTTCTAATATTTTCTTACACTTAAATAATATGTATCTATTTGAAGACACAGTTTTTGTATTTCTGATACATTGTTCAGCCATAGGGCAGGAGCATTTGATAAGTGATACAAAAATGTGCAAATAGGCACTTCTCTTTAGCCAATGGGGTTGTGTTGATAAACCTTCGTGAGGTGATTGGTGGCTGGAAGGCCAGCAGGACAGAGTGAAAAGATTTAAAAAGCCCCACCAGGGCACTAGGAGGGCAGGCATCGACAGAGATGGCTACCATGATGTCTACCATGATGTCTACCATGATGTTTACCATGATGACAGGTTTTCTTCTTTTGCTGTTGGCCGGTGAGTATCAGCTACCACTTAGACTTCTGCTGCTTACTTTTACCATTATATGCAATTAAAGATCAAACTTGTGTGAGTAATGTAATTTAAGAAAAGCTACATTGGTTTTAATACATAATACAATAAGTAAAAGCCATCTTATTGATATTTATTTTCTCTCTTATTTATTTGCAATGCATTTGATAGTTCGGTGATCCAAAAGTTTATTTTGATACTTAAAGTTACCCTCCCCAACCCTCTATACAACAACCACTGCTCTTACTTTCAGTCTCTTGGTGGTGGATCTTCTCTTGCAGGTGTTACAGTGAGCAGAGTGGTGGATCTGGATAAGAGAGTATACAATGGTGTCCCATGCGGTAACCATGTCCGCAAGTACCATGTGAAGCTGATAGCAGTTAATAAGCAGGGAAACTCGTTCTCTTCTGGTGGATCTCTGATCAGTGAACAGTGGATTCTGACTGCAGGTCACAACGTGGAGCTGGGAGAGTGAGAACGTTTTCCTTTAAAAACAAAATAACAATGTATTTAAAAAATACACATAGCTTTTGACGAAATTAAGATAACTTGCTTGTGTTTATGTTCAATGACATATAATATTACAATATGATGCATTTACACTTAGTCAGTAATGTCTCTCTTTTATTTATTTGTAGGACTGTGGAAGCAATTTTAGGTTTTCATCCAGCAGGAACAAAAGTGAAAGCGGTGACAATCATAGAACAACCTATCAGGTATATTGACCCGAGTGGGAGTGGGCCTCATGACCTCATGCTTCTGGAGCTACCTGATGCTAAGCATGGATATCCAATTGCACCACGTACTGACTGTAGCAAAGCTCCCAAAATGTGAGTTATGATCTTTAATCATTTGGAAAATTCCACTCTTAAGAAACTAAAAACTGAGAAATTCCCCTGTCATCCATTACAAATGTTGAGTCTTGTTTTGTATTTCAGAAATGATAAAGTCCAGATTGCAGGTATTGGAGACACAAAGAAAGACCCGGTTACTGGTATAAAAGGTGATATGAATCTGTTTATTTGATATACTGTCAATGTCTAACACAGAGTTCTTTTTTTTTTGTTCGATGTCGATCCAGGCTGAATTTGTGTTATTTTTCAGTGATGTGTATATTACAGCTGGCCGGATAGGAAGTATTGGTTGGGGTTGGGTGCATCAAGTCCGCCATATTGTTGGGGTTTCTCAAGTGAAGTTTGATTCTTGACTTTTTTCCTTTCCCTGTAAAATGTATTGACTATTGTGTTCTGTTCATTTAAATTGTTGACATTCATCCAATTAAGGAGAGCGGTAGTTTGTTCCAGATGTTAGGTGTACAGAAAAGTTGGTAACATTGTTGACAAATATTTACATATAAACCTTTTGATATTGTCATCTAGGAGTCAACTTGGAAACAACTCTCCATTGTGGAGACACCACAGTTGTCCAGTGTGGGGCAATCTGTACATCTACCATTCCATTTTACAATAAAAATGAAGAATTGATCTGTTACAAAGAAACTCACGTGGATACAAGCAAGGTGAGTTCGCCCGATTGACCAGTTTATAATAAATAATTATTCCAGTAAAAATTCTGTGATAAACAATTTGTACATCGCTCTCTTTAGGGGGACTCCGGTGGAGGAGTGGAGTTCAAAGGCATGATTTACGGTGTGCATATTCGCAGTGGTAAAATTGCCTGTGATACACGAGCAAGCGCTATTAACATCTGTGATCTGAAATACAAAACATGGATCAATAACATTACCGGTCTTAACATATTATAGAGATGTCTAACATGTGTAACCTTAGAAGTCCTGTCATTCGACAGACTAACGCATGATGTTAAAACAAATGTTGATTGACTCTTAATTTGCAGGTGATACATTTACTAGCAGTTGGTTTAAATTAATTGTTCAACTATTATGACAAACCAATAATTTTGATTTTATTACTTTAATATCAGAAAGTAGTGTCTGAGTTATAAATGTTAGTTTACACATTCTTGCTTTTGAAACTGTTGTTATGATCCTTTTTTAATATACATTTGAAACACAATTGTAATAATAGAACCCTTTTATCAATTCAACAGAAATTGCACAATATTTAATCAAGAATGTATTTTGAAAACAACAAATGGAAAACACAAAAGTCTGTAATTCTTTTGAACATGCTGATCTGTTGGTAGGTCAACCTCTGAAAAGTATTGCACTGTAATTCACATGTATCCCACAACAGCAACTTCTTGTATAATGTTATAATTTCAAATACAATAAAGAGTCACATCATTATTTCTCTGATTGTTTGTGTTTTTATAAATACAGCGTCACATGAATACATTTCTGCACAATGCCACTAATCAATATCTTTAAACCTTTAAAATTCACATTTGGACACATAGCAAGTAGGGCATTCAGCAGATCATAACATGTGAAGTCCTCTGTTTTAACGAGCCATTGAGCGAGTGAGCAAACGGACATAATCTGATCAAAAACCTTGTGTTTCATTTCAATGGACAGTTAAATATGGAAATACTCTAACGACTGAAGAGAGGAAACCCAGCAGTGCCAAAGATCATACATTTTAAAACATATAGAAATTAATATAAAATAAAATAACTTTACCCAAACAGTCCAACAAGTCTTTAGTGTTGCTGCTTTGGAGTCAAGTTGTCACACACATTCCTGTAAATACCCTGAAGTGAGGTCCGGACAACTTAAAGGGAGAGTGAGGACCACCCTTTCTGCTGCCACCCTTAGAGAACAAATACATAATTTCAACACACACACACACGCACGCACGCACGCACACACACACACACACACACACACACACACACACACACACACACACACACACACACACACACACACACACACACACACACACACACACACACACACACACACACACACACACACACACACACACACCTGACACACATCTGTCATTAAATCTGTGCACAAATTGGCCCTGTTCTTTGTGTGCATGAGTATGATATGTCATATGTGTTAAGCATAGTATATGTATGTGTTGAAGTGTGTGTGCAACATGTTTTCTCTGTGCATGTGTGTGTGAGTCACTGTGGGATCTACTTTCATGTGTCCCGGCAAGAGATGACGTCAGGGTTAAACTGCAAAGTGGGCCACAACGCAGCCAGTATTTGTGTGTGTGTATGTGTGTGTATATATGTTAGTGTAATAATAATAATAGCCGAAATATTTGCAACAAATACAATTAAATAATATGTATTTCCTTTTTTTAAGCTGACCTCAGCGGATAACCCGAGTTGATACATATTCATCGCATAAGTCACAGAAAGTTTTTTTTTATGGGATATATTTGTTTGTTTTGTGTGTGTTTGTGTGTGTGTGTGTGTTTGTGTGTTTACGTGTGTGTGTTCCCAGCAATAACTACACACATCAACCCTCTACTTTAGCAGCAGGCAGACTTTGCGTCAGGAAAATACTGCCCTCAGGCTAAAACTGTCACAGTCACCTTGCAAACTGGCATTTCTTCTCACTGTAGGTACACACACACACACACACACACACACACACACACACACACACACACACACACACACACACACACACACACACACACACACACACACACACACACACACACACACACACACAGCTAGGTCAGCAGTGAGGGGCCTCTGAGCCAATAGCCTGTCCTCTCTTTGCACTGCCCACTCCTGAATGTTTACGCCTTTTCAGCGCAACACTTGTTTTTATTCCATGATTTATCGGGGCGTCTCTACAGTACAGTGTTTCTTCAGTTTTTATTATTCTCTCTGTCAGAGCTTCCACGAGGTGGAGCTCTATATTGCATAATGTGCATTTAAGGTGGGTTGACAAAGAGTCTGCATTCCACCATGAACTAAACTAGCTATTTGCTGTCATCACATTCCCAGACCAGGAAGTTAGAATAAGCTTCAGTAAATGGCTTTTCTTGCAGCATACTATACTGTAATGTGTGCCTGTGTGTCACTTGGTGCATATTGCTACCTTTTACACCTGTGTAATCCAAGAAAATGTCAATTAGTAGCCTCATATGAACATCTATTACCGACCAATTTCACTTTCTATCAGCCTATAAATGTGTGTTCTGTATTAAGGGATTACAAACTAGCAGCATAAGGTTAGCTTTTTACTGCAAACATTTTAAAGTGTCATACATGTTGGATTGTTGTTGTCCTAGGTACAGTGAAGTGCTAATACACAGTTAGAAGTGTTTGTTTGTGTTAGTGTGTTAGTGTGTGTGTGTGTGTGTGTGTGTGTGTGTGTGTGTGTGTGTGTGTGTGTGTGTGTGTGTGTGTGTGTGTGTGTGTGTGTGTGTGTGTGTGTGTGTGTAATTCGTTTGGTGTGTATACAGTATGTAAAATGATCGTGACATTTTCCTGTTTGTGTTTTCAGCGGCTTACATAGTTTGCCAAAGTATTTTTTTTGTATTCACCTCCACAAACAAACCCTTAATAGAGTAAATATTTCCCTGCTCTGCTCCTGTTATGACAGGTAATTGTAATTAACATAACTCAATACTGTACACATTTAGCTGACAGTGCAGCTTTCAGCGGCTGTTGCCCTTTTAATCAGAGGCAGGGCGACACGACTATTAATGCACACATCCGCTGACCTTTTGTTTGTGGAGCCGTCGCTCAGCTGTCGTCCCGCTGCAAACACCAGAGAGCTGCCCACATGAAGGAGCTTTTAATTGACTTACATATTATCAGCTCCCTGCAGGAAATACCGTGTTTGTTTCTGACATTATAACAGCGAGTATCAACATTTTGAATGATGATGGATCAAGGCTTGTATGCTCTAAAATGTCAAATAGGTCCAAAACTGTGTCTCAGTGTTAGACAGTACTCAGGGCAAAGTCTCAAGTTTGTTCACGCTGGAAAAGAACGTATACGATATACTTGATAATGTAATAATTTGATGTATTTTGTCAATATATGAGAAGATCTTATAGTTAAGTAAAGCTAAAATCAAATATGCGACTGATAAGATATATCTATGGTCATATAACAACTAAAACAAAGAAAATATATTTTTATAAATAAAAATAAAAAAGTTTTAAAAAAGTACAATAATATAGAGCTTACTATATACTTGATTTGGCTTAGTGGATCAAGGCTTTATAATATGCAATTGTGCACATACAAATCAATTTTGGACCATATCTGTAATAATGTGATGTATTTGGTCAATTCATGAGAAGCTCTTATGGTTCAATTAAATACATGAGCTAATAGGACTAATGAAAAATGTCTATGGTCATATAACAACTAAAACAAAGAAAATATATTTTTATAAATCATTCTTTGAAAAGTAAATCCATGAAATCGTAAAATGGAGTTCATATTCTATTCTTTAGCAACAGCACATACAGTTATGGAGAAGCATTGTTGTCTGTTTTCATGATTTATGTGAATTTTACTGAACATAACAGCACAACTGTGGTTTTTGATCCATTTTCACTCGTTCCAGTCAGTAAAATGTTCTAATTGTATCCCAGAAAATGGGACTCCACTATGCCAGTACGTAATGTGCCAGCTTCAAATCAGGTTGTGTTGCTTTGATCATCCAACTGAGACAACATGCTTTGAAGTGACTGTAATCGTGAGTCATTGCAGGCACAAAAACTCCACGGAGAATTCAACTAACTTCTTCCTCAATCCTTCAAAAACCTGCCACTGCGGACCGGTGCCTTTTTGCAGCATATTGATAGTAAAAAATGTAGGCAACCCAAACTCTGGGATATTGTTTATTCACAGAATTGTGCCTCCAGGTTATCACAAAGGCAGCATGCTGGGTGTTAGACGTCGTGTTTGGCTGCATATTCAGGATGCACGGACTTGAGAGGAAGGAGAGAATGAGCGGTACAGAGAGGCAGAGAACAACACAAAAGAGGGGAATTGGAAAATGCAGGTTGTTTGTGGTTCAGTTCACCGGCGGGAATACATCAATATCACATGGACTGCACATCAGCTGTGAGACAAAGGTCATCCTATGTGGGGAACAAAAAAGAAAGCATGCAGGACATAGAAGATGCACTGTAGCTCCAGTGTTTACAGTTTGTTGCTTCATGTGAGAGGGAAGGGAGGTGTGTTTGGACTTTTAACATCTCACTGGTGGAGGTTATTACAGTAATACAGTAATAATAATAATAATACATTTTTATTTATATAGCACTTTTCACACACATGCAGCTCAAAGTGCTTTACAGAATGACACATCACAAGTTAAAAACAAACCACAAGAAATCCCCCTCAGATTATTTGTTAAAAGCTTTAAAAGGTACATGCAGCAAAACATAACATCTGACCAGGCCAACAAGGAGGTCAAACGTATGACAAAAGAAATAAAAAAAAAACAAACAAACAATGGTTTCTCTCTGACAGGTAAGACACAAGACAACTGAGTCGATGCAACAATATATTTTTCTATCATTAACCTCTAATTGTTAGATATGTGTTCATGTGCAATAGCAACTATAATATTTGCAATGGTGACTCGTCATTAGGGGCAGCCCCACATAGTGTCCGCAGAAAGTAATGCAAATAATAATTATAAAAATATGCAAAAACTATATAGCCTATGTTAAAATATATATTTAAGATCATGTTTCGTCATCTGATTCGTTTGCACATTGCTGTTTTAGTCTGTGTTCTTCTAATTAGTGTCTACAGTGTGTGCCTATTGAGCCGTGTTGAGCGACGTGGGTCAAGCCCCGATCTAGCCCCTCCCTCTCCCTGTCAAAGTGAATGGGTGCTGTAAAAACTATACTGCGCATACTCAGAGTCTTTTTCTATTCAATGTGTGCGGCAAACAAATAATGACCATGCTGACATACCTACCAAACGTCATCTCATAATTCAGAGAGCTGATTGGCTGTAAGTACGTGTGCCGCGAAAATAGTAGTTGTTTGTGAAGAGGAGACGAGAGGGAGCAGCGTATAGCGATTAAAATCAGAGCAACGGAAAGAAAGTGAATGAAGTTGACCATCTACTTCAGCTTTGGAAATATTTTATGTCATATCTTTTGTTGATCTTCTGTGTTTTGCCTATAGGCTATTGCTCTGCTGGATCGATTGATATTGTGACCTCAGTGATGAGTGTCTGTGTTTTCCTTATAACGCCCCCCTCTCTATCGGAGCCATGGATAGCCTCCAGCTATTTTTTTACGTGTTTAAAAAAACCCCTGAAGCTTAAATATACACATCTAAGTTGTTCGTGCCCCACCACTTTTGTACATATCAAAACGCCACTGAATATTTAGCAGGTCATGGTTACTAGAAGTAAAACTAACACATAAATCCTAAAGGTGGGACGCATCACAGATTAGACCTAGCCGTAGTTTAGGCTACATTAGCAGCTTTGTGTTTCCATATTTTCAAGTGAGTAAAAGTTACTTGAGAGATGTCTAATGAACGTGAAAGTGTAACAAACTATCAGTAATGCAGTATGAGATTTCGATCACATTTATATCGTAGTCTAACCGGTTTAATAACGAGTGCTGTGTAAAACAATGCTTTCCCTAAACTTACGCCAGAAGCTTAACCACCTGTTGCTAAATAAAGACGTGTATTTGTGCTTAATATTGTCAGTATGTGTGTTTTGCGTACTTTCTGATATCTTAGCTTCTATGTTAGTTTAAGAAAGTAAATGAATGTTTAAATGGATGCATCACTTATTAGACCTATCATATACATTTCTGTATTGTGAGAACGAAATGAAAAATAAGGAATTTATTTTATGGCATGTACGCCTGGATATCCCTTTTGTGTCAAAGTGTGAAATGCTTATTTCATGTGGTATTAACATTTAAGTGGGAAAGAGAGCTGCTCTGACAAGCTAAGAAACATAATTAGAGGGAGCAGAAAGTCTGCTTGTAAGTGCGAGAGAGAAAGTGAGAGGTATGAGAGCACAGTAGGTGTGGACAGTTTAACAAGGGGCAGAAAATATGATTTTCTTTGGGGTCAGTGAAGCGTTGAAAACATGCTCTGAGGGTGGTGAAACTCGACCTCTATTCCTCTCCACTTCGTCTGGATGCTGTGAAGGAGCCATGTTTAAAGGTCATATCTCAGCATCCAGGGCTCTCTGCGAGGTGACGGAGAAGACACAGTATGATTGAGAAAGGACAAAGAGAACGAAGAGCAACACGGAAAGAGTTTTAATATGTATTTAGAGGAAAAACGTGATGTGATCTCGTATAAATAGAACATTTCATATATGTGTCACGTTTAGTTGGCGTTAAACTGTGGAATTATTCACCAAATGATTTAAAGGGCTGTATGAACATCTTTAGGTTTAAAAAATATATAAAAGATGGAATTACATGGATACACAGTTACAGCATTTAGTGTGTGGTAAAGGTCTTTTAAAGGAGTCTCTCACAACACACGC